GGGAGGCGGAGCTTGCAGTGAGCTGAGATCCGGCCACTGCACTCCAGCCTGGGCGACAGAGCGAGACTCCGTCTCAAAAAACAAACAAACAAACAAACAAACAAACAAAACACAAAAAGATGGAATAATGAGCAAAACCTGAAAAAGTCCATGAAGCTTAAGTGTTGTGCGGCATTTCACTAATTTTCGTGTCTAAGACCCTACCTGGAGAGCACTAGGAAGTGAAGACTGGCTCTACCCCGGGAGATTCTGAGGTAGGTTGCAGAGGTGTGCACACTGCGGAAGCGCCCCCCGGCGGTTTGGATTCGGATCATGTTGGGGTCACTCTGATGTGCTGGGGATGGGCTGAAATTAAAACTGTCCGGGATGCCTGGTGTTCACTCTAACAGCACCATCCACTCTCTCCTGAACAGTGCTTACGTGACAGTCTCCCCTCTAAACCCGGAGGTGTGGCGCTGAGATGGCACCTCGCTCCCCTCTGTGCCCCCTGGGCTCAGCACCTCGTAGATGCGAGTTATTATTTATTTTTTTAAACAGTCTCGCTCTGTCGCTCAGGCTGGAATGCAGTGGCGTGATCTTGGCTCACTACAACCTCCGCCTCCTGGGTTCAAGTTATTCTCCTGCCTCAGCGTCCCGAGTAGCTGGAATTACAGGTACACGCCACCACGCCCGGCTATTTTGTATTTTTAGTAGAGATGGGGTTTCACCATGTTGGCTAGGCTGGTCTCGAACTCCTGACCTCAAGCGATCCACCCACCTCGGCCTCCAGAAGTGCTGGGATTACAGGCGTGAGCCACCGTGCCCGGCCGCGAGTTAATTTTTATTGAGAACGTGAATGAATGGATGGGGAATGAATGGTTAGAAGACGAATGAATGAACAGCAGGACTCTGGTTAGAAAAGGAATTTCAAGAGTCAGGATCTGGAAGGTGGGAAAGTTTACAAAGACTTCCGCTACGCGCGCTGGGGCTCTGGAAGGGCAGGTACTTCAGAGGTCGAGACGCGATTGGCCGCCTGGGAAGGTGGCTGTGCCGCCGGCTGCTACGCGCTTGGCGGAGAAG